TCTCAACGAGAGCGGCGTTTGCCGGCAAAATGCGGCTTTTTGGGGGCTTGCGCGGGGGTGTGCGGGGAAGGGATCCGTGACTGCAACTTGTCCGTTCGCTGCAGAAGAGCGGTTCTGCGTATTCCCGTAGACAGCTGCTCGGTCCGGCAGGGAGGGAGAGCGTGGTGTTCGGGTAGCCCTGAGGCTGTGTCAGCAGTAACCTTATAGGTAGCGTAAGAGGGTGCTGAAATCTTGAAGTTTACACTTAAAGTTTTGCCTTCAGGCTGTAAAAACGGAACCTCGTTCCCTTGCAGTGCAGTTGTTCCCGTAACAAGGCTCACCAGAAACCTCCTTCGATTTCTGTGGGTTACAAGGGAGAGCAACTTTGCTCCTACCGTTCCCAGTACGGCATTCTGAATTGCCGAGGTGTCCTCCTTCACTTGCATCCAGAGGCTCCAAGAGGCTCCCAGTCCCTATGAGTCTTGTACTCTTGAAAGAATATTTGAAGCCAGTGCCTTGCTGTTTTAAATGTTAGGGTTTTTTTTTTTTTCCAAAGGATTAAGATGGATTGTTGAAGTAAAATGGAGATTTTTTTTTCTGTGAATCCTATGCAAATGAATCCTATCCAGACTCAGTCTCAGAATTGTAAAGGTTGGGTAGGCATCTTTACTAGAACCTGACTGAGAGCAAAACAGCCCACAAAGTATTCCAAATACAGTTTGCTGGGCTTAGATTCCAGCGTTAGTAGAAAGGAAGAAGCTAAAGTTATTTTTACTGAAATAGCAAAGTGTTAGCCTGCACTTTAAATTAAACTGCTCAGAAATCCACTGTGTAATCTACAGTTTCACCCTAATACTGTTTTCAGTAAGCAGGACAAATCTACTTTCTGGCAAAGGGTTGAACAGATGGCAATCCATTAGCAAACCTGACTTTTCAAAGGAAATATTACTATTTCAGAATTATACATCCATTTTTGCAAAACTATGCTTTAAAAACTCCACAATACACAAAAATGCAAATTAGTCCTAATTTAAATATAAGCATCTGTTGTTGTCTGTGTCCAGGATATGCCTAACCCTTTGGCAGGCGTGCCAGTGTTACAGTCTTCCTGGTTGTCAGCCACAGCTGGCATTAGTGTGAGTGAGATAAAACATCTCAGAATGATAGGATGTGATGTGCAAAACAAAAACACAGGCAAGAGGAAATAGATTTAAATAGTGTGCCTGGCCTACAGAAGGCCATTTCGTCAGAGGGATGTACTTCATCACTTGTAACATGCTGCTGCATCAACTGTGGAGGATGGGCTGAAGCAACTCCAGAGGCAACTAGACCACACCAGTGCTTCTAAATATTTCCTCTGTAGTCTTCCTTTCACAGTCATGAGAGAGGGGAAGTTCTGCATGGTAAGATTTTCTAGATTCCTGTTACCTTGGTTAAAGCAGATGAGCCATGTTTACTGTCACTATGCCTTGCGCTTCTCTGCTGTGATCTAAGCATAGCCCTTAAAAGTCTTGTACCCTCATATCCATTTCCATGGATATGTCCCATGTCCCACAGGGAGCTCAGCACAGCAAGAAAATAGGGAGCGTTTCAGGAGAGGTGGTATTGTTAGTCTTGTTTTTCTGAGGGAATTGCTGCTTGATCTCTGTCCAAGAGGTGTTCTGCATTGCCCCTTGCTATGGGGCACTGACGCTGGTAAAACACCATAAGGATATATACGTTAGAAATGTGAATTACACTCTGACGTGGTCTCCACCTGGACAAAATATATTGACTCTATTCTAGTACATAGATGGGAGCTTTCTTAAAGCCTGATGTAAATGGCATTGGAAACCTGTATGGTAAAATGAATTACCATTTAAAGGTGAAGGGCATGGTGTGTGTGAATGATTGAAAGCCAGTTATATTCTGGAAGATTACTTCAGTCCAAAGCACAGGAATTAATTTCCTTAATTCCTATCATCATGTGCCTTTCTACCTGCACAAATGTGTGCAAGTTCCATTAGGGCTCTTTAATATGTAGAACAAGTTCACAAAATAATGGAAATTTTAATCACTGACAATTTAATCTCTAAGGCTTTTGCCTGACCTTTGCGTGGTGCTCTGTTGGGAGGAGGGGAAGAAATCAGCAACTGTTTCAGGAGGGAAACCTAAGGCATTGTAGTGAGGAGGTACCACTTAGGGGAAAGTGGCCTTAGCACCTGGGAGCTTTGGGAGAGGAAAGTGCCTGCTGGGTGTCTTCCAACAGCCAAGTGAGTCATCTCTCAGAGAAAGTGCTCCCTTCCTACCGTAATTGCAAATGTCTTACACCCTGAATCAATAGCACCCCACCAGTAATCTCCAGTGTCCATGAGAGCTAACTGGTGGAATTTTCTAGGCAAATTCAAAGCTCAAACCTTCAAGGTGTAGGGAGCTATACCTTGTTTCAGGTTGAGACAATGTTACAGTAATGTCTTCAATAAAATGACAAAGAATAAAAGAAAGCAAATTTGGGATTTTTCTTTTTATTTTAGGTTCAAGGTTATGGATTTTTAAAAAAACCCTCCTCCCAGTGTTCTTTGTCTTCCAGAGAGCCATTGCTTCACCCTACCCCATGACCAACAGGAGCTGCCTTTCCCTTTATTATCCAGAGCCCCAGGTCTCTGTTGCATGCTGCCTTCTGTTGCCTTGTTCTTCTCAAAGCCCTGGTGCAGTTAACTCCATTGCTCTGTGCCTTGTCCCTAATCTTAATCCATTTTCACTGTTCAGCAACCCAATTTCCTGCTCTAACCCTGGCTTCTGCTGTCCAGTGACCCTCAGCACCTCACCAGCCTGACATTGCCTCAAATGCTGCACACAGATCCAGCAGCAATGTCCTGCTTGTCTCCAAGTAGGGGAGTGTCATCTTCCCCAGCCACTTTAGCCTCCTCATGGTTATAGCAAGACCTCCTGTGAGTTCCTGCATGCTGCAGGTACATCTTCTAAGCAATGAGGAATTAAAGGAAGCTTGTTGTGGGTGGGATCACTTAGACTGTTTTAGCACAGCCTTATGAAAGCATTTTCTAGAAGTACCGTTGCCCTCTTGGAAATATGTTAATAGGGAATAGATTTCTGTGCTTCCCTTGGCACACATTTAAGGAGTGGTCATAAGGAAGCCTGCAAATGGAAGGAGACATCTTTCTAGCTATGCATTATAGATGTTCCTCAGTATCTGAACTTTTTTGACTAAATGTCTGACATATTTTTCATAAACCTTAATTCAAATTTTGCTTGTATTCTTCCTTACAAGATGAAAATCTACTTCAAAATATAACTGATCAGACTGCTCAGTTTTTCTCAAACTGCTGCAAAATCTCAGTCCCAGTTCCTCTGAACAGGCTCATGAAAATGGCAGCTTTAAAAGTGTGCATTCTTGTTTTTGAAAATACACAACTAGCCTATACAAAGACCACCTCCTGATCAAGAACAAGGAAATATCTTTTCATATGAAGGGAGACGTTCAACTGCCTTTTTTAAATAATCCATATCCTACTATGTTTTTCCCTAAATAGTTACTATTCATGTCACTGATGGTTTCACTTCTTAATGTGACTGAGGGTAAAAGAAGAAATTTGAATAGACTGAATATACAGTACTGCTACGTTAATCCCTGTGAAGTTTCATAGCAGGTCATAGCTATTGGCTCTTGATTAGCAAATTTCTCTTGATTTCAAATACATCCTTGGAAATGGAAAGATTTCTTGTTTGGCTGTAATGCATAACTGAGTTCTGTTTCTTTTTACAAATTCAAGCAAATACTTTTCCAGTGGAGTGGGTGTCCCAAAACTTCCTGAAAATCCGTTACAAAGCACCATGTTCAGCGACAAGAAATAAGAATATGAATGAGCTTGGAATTGTCATCAGCTGTTAGACAAATTTCAGATGTGATAGTAGGTGGCACCTGGCCATTAATGTACATAGATGCTTGCTAGAGTACTCCTCCTTCCTTTCTCTTCATCTCTTCTTATC